TAACTTATTGCATTCTGACTCGTTTACTGTATTTTTATTCAATTAACTGATTTTTTTCTGAATACTCAATACAGTTTTTGGTAGCTAGTTAACAAGTCAAATAGCATGTCAGAACAAGTAATGTTTTTATAATATTAAGAGACAGGATTTTTTTTTTTACTCACTTGTTCCATCCCTGTCTTTTTAATCAATCAGATAAATTCACCTTGTTTTTCAATGGCCTGAATCCTGATAGCTCTGCACACTTGATAGGTAATTTAATCATCACTGGTGTGGATGAACTCAAGCTCAAATTAGCTCCTGAAAGGCTTATTCCTCCCTTAGATAGCTCTGCTTTTCCACTTTTATGCAGGCACTGAGCTTCACCAACTGGTTAGCTGGAGGTGTTATTAAAAATTTATTGAGAGAAACAAAGGTGTGCTCTGCTGTCTCCTATTACCTTTTCTACTGTTACCTTAGCAGACAAAAGGTATGGAATCTGCTTCATGAATAATGAGTCATGTAATATGCATAATGCATTTTTAATGGTATTGAGTAATAACATTAAGAAAAGATACTTGCAGTCTTCAAACTGTACGCTGTAACCGTTTCAGTAATTTGTTCTGATTCTCCACCAGTTAGATTGCTAAAACATTTTCCCCTAAAATTCTGATCTTTTCTGTACCTGAGGCTGGACTTAGCTGAAGTCAATGGCATCCACAGTAAAGGATCTAGTTCCATAGGCATAATAATATAGGGCACTTGCCTATATTCTGAATCCTAAAGGCCTTTCTCAGTTTTTACTTGTGCCTGTCATAAACAGAACTCTCCCTAGTTTTAGCAGAGTTCATGTTTGAGCAAAGATTGATAAGACTTCTAGACTTGTGCCATTGGTTAGGTTACAGGACATGTTAAAGGGAGAATTAAAAAAAATGTGTTTACATTCTCTCCTTTCTTAAAAGCTCTTGTCCTTATCTTGGGTTAGTCTACCAGAACTGACCTCTTACATTTCAGCTAGCTGTGTTAGTGTGTGTTATGTATTAACATTAGTCCCCAGCTAGTCAGGTGCAGGTAGGCTCTCTGCATTCCAGTTCAACTGTGCAACTTGGTACCTAAAAGATAGCTATCAGGAGAGTGACACTTGCCATCAACCAAAGCAAGGTTCATGCTGCCTAAGGCACTCTGAAGTGCTTTAACCTGGAGTCGGAATTACTTCTCTCTGATAATAGCAAAGTTGCTCGTAAGTGAAAAGAATCCTTCTGAGCAAAGGAGAGGGAGGCTGAATGGGCCCTTTGGTGGATTCGCATTTCCACATTGCAGCCTTCATTCAGCTTCTGCTAACTGTTTTTCCCGTAAAACAGACTCAGTGTTTCCCTGATTATTGCTTCCTGTCTACCTCTCATTCCCATTGCTTCCCTTCTTTATTTGTGCCTTCCCAGTGCTCCCTATTATACCTGGCACATGCTTCCCATCCTGTATATCATGCCATTTATCTCTCTTCCTTTTAACACTTAAAGCCTTTTTTCCTCACAGTTCTTCTAACAATTACTTACTCTTTTGAGCTCATCTTTAAATTGATCATGACATTTGACATGACCTAAGTAAAATCTGGTTAATTTGTGGGTTGGTAATGATTGATTAATAATCCACAAGTGATGGATCATCAGTAGTTAGCTAGGTTCAACTTTCCATGAAATGTATTTTGCATGTTATATGGAGACACAGTACTGTGATTCTTGACATCTATATTGAAGAAAAAATATATTACAAAAATTCTAAATGCAAATTGTGTATAGCCTAGCTTGCTGTGTGACAACTCTCTAAGATTATAAAGATGCATGCTTAATGCAAAGTCTCACACCACAGAAATGGAGTGCTTGCCACAATTATGAAGTAAAATATTCAGTTAAAAGACTTTTGCTTTGCACTCATGCACTCATTGTCAATAAGTCTGTAGAATGGAGTGATCTATTGTCTATGTCTTGCTGATCCATCGTGGTGGATGGGTCGGTTTCGACCTGGAAGGGTGTGGGCAGCGGGGTCCCGCAGGACTCGGTCCTTGGACCGATACTCTTCAATGTCTTCATCAGCGACTGGGACGAGGGAGTGAAGTGTACTCTGTCCAAGTTTGCGGATGACACAAAGCTATGGGGAGAAGTGGACACGCTGGAGGGCAGGGAACAGCTGCAAGCAGACCTGGACAGGTTGGACAAGTGGGCAGAAAACACCAGAATGCAGTTCAACAAGGAGAAATGCAAAGTGCTGCACCTAGGGAGGAAAAATGTCCAGCATACCTACTGCCTAGGAAATGACCTGCTTGGTGGAATGGAAGCAGAAAGGGATCTTGGAGTCCTAGTGGACTCCAAGATGAACATGAGTCGGCAGTGTGACGAAGCCATCAGAAAAGCTAATGGCACTTTATCATGCATCAGCAGATGCGTGACGAACAGATCCAAGGAGGTGATACTTCTCCTCTATCGGGCGCTGGTCAGACCGCACTTGGAGTACTGCGTGCAATTCTGGGTGCCACACTTCAAGAGGGATGCGGATAACCTGGAGAGGGTCCAGAGAAGGGCCACTCGTATGGTTAAGGGCTTGCAGACCAGGCCCTACGAGGAGAGACTAGAGAACCTGGCCCTTTTCAGCCTCCGCAAGAGAAGGTTGAGAGGCAACCTTGTGGCTGCCTATAAGTTCATCATGGGGGCACAGAAGGGAATTGGTGAGGATTTATTCACCAAGGCGCCCCCGGGGGTTACAAGAAATAATGGCCACAAGCCAGCAGAGAGCAGATTTAGACTGGACATTAGGAAGAACTTCTTCACAGTTCGAGTGGCCAAGGTCTGGAACGGGCTCCCAAGGCAGGTGGTGCTCTCCCCTACCCTGGGGGTCTTCAAGAGGAGGTTAGATAAGCATATAGCTGGGGTCATCTAGACCCAGCCCTCTTTCCTGCCTATGCAGGGGGTTGGACTCGATGATCTATTGAGGTCCCTTCCGACCCTAACATCTATGAATCTATGAAAAGCTGATGAGTATTTAATGCTTTGCAAGCATTGGCTGGCTTGAGGAATGGAAGGGGAGGGGAGACATCCTGTAAGCAGACTCATTATCAGAAGCAAATTCCATTGTGATTTTGTATAACTGTACATTTGGAAATTACGAATTAAACTTCAACAAATGATGAATTAGACAGGGTGTTTTTGTTAGAAATCAACAGGACTCTGAGGAGTATCCATTGCACTGACTAGTAAGACCATAACAATAACTTTTACTTTATTGTAATTGGTACTGCACCCACCTGTTTCCTTACTGTCCGTGTGCTTCCCACTCTCCCCCTTGCCTAGTATGTATCCTCTGTTTCACTGTTCAGTAAGGGAGATGTCTTGCAATATCATGCACACAAGTCATCCCACTAATAGAGTTCAAAGCTATTGCTAAGCTCAGCATTGTTGCACCTGACCTTTAGGTGTCCTGCCACCAAGTGAAAGCCACAGCCCATTGTTAGGCCCCAAGGTTTGGGCACCTCATAACAGGATCCACAAAAACCAGCATGCTGAGCTGCCTCAGCTACTCTAGAGGAAGTGCCAAGAAGAATGGAATGATTCCTTAAGGAAGTTAAAAGTGTCTAACTCTGGTCTGCAGAGAAATACCATCTTCCAATTAGGAGTCCCAGATTTTAACCCTCTCCTGGAATCAGGTGTCTAAGCCAGCCCTTTCTCACAAAATAAAGGTAGCAAGCAAAGGTAATAGCGTTCCCCTTTTACCAAATAGCTTTTGTGTCTAGGGCACTCATCTATGATGTGGAAGACCCAGATTGAAGCTCCGCCCTGCCCCCCACCTGAGAAGACCTGAACCCACATCCTCCAAGTCTGATGAGGGTGCTTTAACACCAGCTGCAGGATATTTGCGGGGAAGGGCAGGGTGCTTTGTCATTCTTTCCTGTTAAAGCTGTTCTGTGTTGCACTAAATTTAATATTAATTGCTATTTTATGATTCAGGAGATACTGGGACCACCACTACCTTCTCTTCCCAGTAGTTTTTACAGGGTTTGTTTGGGATTATTTGCTGCTGGGATTGTTTACGGATTTTACATTAGACAATCATTGTCTATGAAAACAGAAATATCTCTGCCAGCAAGAGCAGAACTTAAGATTCCTGCACCCAGAAAAGTGCCCTCCTCATGCTGCAAAATTGTACTTTTTCTTTCTTATGTGGTCTGAATTGCTTCTATGTATGTGCAGCAGTTTGTCTGGGCACCTAGGGATCCTTTCAGACCAGAGTAGAAATGCCTAATGAATCTAGTGGTGGGTGGGGGTTATGGCTGCTGCGTGGGGTCAATTTAGATTGCTGTTTGTGACTTATGCACCTAAATTCCACCTTACTCTTGTTTAGGTCCCTACAACATCACTTTAAATCTGTCAGTGTGGTGCTTTTGTAAATCTAACAAACATCCAAGTTTGACTAGGCCAGTCCTGATTGGAGAAAAAAGGAATATGGGTATCCTGATGGTATTTAAAAAATTGAGATTTTGTCATAATTCAAAATTCCTACCCTGGCAGTGACAGAGAGATGACTGTTTCCCTTCTGTATGTGCTACCTTCCAAACCAAGATTGCAGCCACTATAGTGCAGCACTGTGCATACACTAGGAAGTTCTGGCAAGAGGCAAAACCTGCTGGCATGGGCACAGCACTACAATAACTGTCTATACTACATCTGCCTCCAGTGGGCTCCAGCAGCATTGCACACACAGGTGCACTGAATTGTTCCATTTCAGGATACCAAAATTTTAGGAGATTTACACTCTTGCAAATTCTAGCCTAGCTTTTTATTCTCTGGGTAAAGTGCCAAACCCACCTGTGGCAATATATATAAATATATGCTGCATTATAATAAGGTGAGTTTCCTAATTTGGTTAAAGTTATGAACTTCAATAAAAATCATGCAAGAACATTTTCAATACTTTATTAATTTAAAACATTATTCCAATAAATATATATCAATAAACATAAGACACTCCAAAAAACCTAAATAAAGACATTTACGATCCTTCCAACAAAGTAAAAACAATAACGTGTTTTTTTTTCACTGAGGTATGCATAGGATCATTTAAGGCAAAATCAATTATTTATACTTTTCTGATTCCTATCCACCTCAGGTATAATACCATTAAAAAATACAAAAGCCCAAATATACAAACAAATCTATCAGTAACTAGTTAGCTACTTCCCAGTTATTTATAATCAAACCCAGAGTGGTGAAGATGATGGTCATTCTGGACAGAAAGCTTGTGTCTGGCCCTTTGGTCTTGCCCTTCTCAATCAGGGACAAACAGGTATTCTTAGGAGCTCCAGTTAATAAGGCTTTGGCTTTTTCTGTTAAGTCCTTCACTAGTGGACGTAGAGAGAAGTTAACTCCCAATCCACACACACATACATAAGCAAAGTCATACAGTCAGCTCTTCCGTGGATAACAGATAGACAGTTTAGAAAAGCAGAAGGGGCCTGACTCTTTTCACCTTAGTTTTCCAGCAGTGTAACTCCTGATTTATGCCATTATTATGTGAGAGCAGAATCTAGCCCAAGCTGAGACTTTGGCTCTGAAAGTAGCAAGATGTCAGATTGCACTGTCCAACCCCACTCCTCCTCTACTGGCTGTCCAGTTACGAAATGACCAAAAAAGCTATTGAACAGTTAAGTTGACCTGAACAAGCAGTCCTTATAATATTTACCAGATTTTTCAGTGTATTTATCATGTAAACTCTTACCCATATTTCCCTGCAAGTTATTTAAAAAAAAAACAGTTGAGGGATTTCATCTTTGCCATGGGCAAAGAACCTTCCAGCTCACAGCTGTTTTGTAGCTTATCTACATTTGGAGTTTCAGGCTTCTGGTGGAAATGTTTGTTTTCCAGTGTTTAAAAAAAAAAAAAAAGCAAGGGAGAGAAGAGAGAGAAAGAGAAAGAAACCCCAGCCAAGTCCTTCCAGTTGAACTTCAAAGCTGCTGTCCTGTCCTCTCCTTTTGTCTCTGAGCTCCTACCCAGAAAGGTAATGCCAGGATCTGTGCGAAGGGCAGGGCTCAGGGCCACCAGGAAAGCTGAGGAAGCCTGTTCACATAGTGTTGTAGGTGTTTGCGAGACTGTAGGCAGGTCTCATTTCAGACCATGTTGTGTCTCCCGATGTCTCCTTAAATCCACCTTCCTCTGGAAGCCTTTGCCACACAGATCACAGCCAAAGGGCTTGAAGCCGGTATGCTTACGACTGTGGGTGATGAGGTTGGAGCTTTGACTGAATGCTTTGCCACACACCTGGCACTTGTGGGGTTTCTCACCTATAGGGCGAAGCAGGTAAAGACAGAGCGGTCCCTATGTTAGAGAGCCAGCACACTGCACAAGGAGATCAAAGAGAAACTTGCCACAGAAAATGCACTTCACACTTTAAAGTTTATGATCTGCAATACTGCCCTTTCTAAAAGACCACAGAGAATAGTCCTGCTTACCAAGAAAGTACAATGAATGAAATACTGGCTCTACTGAAAACATTGAAAAAAACTCCTGTTGACTTCAAGAGGGACAGGATTTCAGCCTCTTTTAATTTTGCATGTTACCAAATAACTTCTATGATGAAACCCAAACCTCAGAACAGCTATGCACATCCACAACTCCCATTAATTTCAGCTGAAGCTGTGAATGCCTAGCACCTTTCAAAATCAGCCTCTGTGAGGAGAAAGGAATACAAATACGGGCAGGGATGTTGTTCAGCATCCATAGCGCACATGTAGTGTAGTTTATATTTAAGGAAATCTGAATTCAGTAAAGGACCTGGTTTTAGGGCACTAAATTAAAACTCCAGGGTCAGATTCTAAACTTAGTTATACCCATGGATCCTGGACTATCTGCATTGGCTGACCTGGAATTTGGCAAGGTTTTTTTTTTTGGTTGTTTTTATTTGACCAACTGTGTTGTTGGGAGAGATGGAATCTGGCCAAAGATTTGCACAATAGAGTCCAATTTGAAAAAACTAATAGGAAAAAGACATTTTCCCTTTATGATTTAAATGATTCATCTTAAATTAGCAACCAACAGTAGAATAGATTTATAAATAAGCTATTTTTACAACAGCTAGTAACCTCTAAGAAAATCAAATACTTTTCTAGACAGACAGCACCAATATATAGAAATATGTCCTGAGTAATGTTATTTTCCATCACTTATGGCAGTGCTCCTTGCAGTGAGAAAAGGGCATTTCATTTTTAAAGGCCTCTGAGAAGACCTGCTGTCCCTTTAGACTAAATTATTTTTAAATATGCCTTCCTACGGTAATTCACCTGCAGCTTATTAGTTTCCATATTCATTATCACTGACAATGAAACCTGAGAATGCTGCACCTCTCCTTCCATTATATGCCCAACTGCAGCCATTTGATTGGAAAATCCGGGTGGAAGCCCAATAGACAGGCAATCTCTGAGCAAATATTTAGACTGAGTTGGGCCCACAGCCCTTGAGTTTAGTGTTTGATCTGGAGGAGGAGGCTATTGTTTCTGCTATTGTAAAGTGGCAGCCTGTGGATAGAGATACTGCAGATTCACCTGTTATTTACAGGGGCCTCAGCTCTAAATCAAGGCCAATATAAATACAATGGTCTACAAGTCATCCTATAGAAAAGCCCTTCTGGATAAACACAGGGTGGATCCTATGAAAGGAACACTGATTGGATTTATTCCGATTTCAGTTATTTAACAGATGCTGTTCAAGAAACCAGGGTCTAATCTCCCTTCTTTTCACTACCACCCTACTTGGGTTCTTACAGTGCAAGACACTCGTGTGAAGCAAAGGCCATGCAGAATAAGATTAATGCATTAGAAATGGATTGATGGGAGAAGGGAACTCTCCTGAAATCTATTCTAGTAAATGGGGGATAAGCCCCGGCTGCTGGGAGACTGACCTGTGTGAATGAAGGTGTGTTTCTTCATGTCAGATTTCTGGTGAAACCGCTTCCCACAGTACTGACAGGGATAGGGGCGCGTGTCTGAATGGATGAGCAGATGGGTAGACAAGGTGGAAGATCTCTTAAAGCTCTTGCCACAGATCTTACAATCAAAGCTGCGTTCCTGCAGATAGAACACACCCCACATGCACATTTTGTCATTCCATAAACTGCACTTGCAGCACAGTCAGCCAGCCAGGGCATTAACACATACTTCCCTCCCCTAAGAACCACATTCTCCTTCCCTACATATACCCTACATGCCAGCAGAGACACTAACATGACAAAGACTACCCATGAGATGTCTAATTCAAAGTCCAGGAAATTCACCTTCTTCCCAGCTCTATGCACTATTCACAAGTAGCAACTTCATCAAACAGCCACAGGGGCTTGTGTGGGCACAGCCACTTTGGTGAATGGGAGTGTGCAGAGTGTGTGTGCATGCTCCAGCAGGAGGATCCAAGGTAGGAGCAGGGGGATTTCACTGAGCCACAAACAGCTGCTGGACAGCTCTAAGGAGCACTTAGTCAATGAAAGCAGCCAGAAATAAGCACAGCATGGTGCCCCATCTGATACCTTGTGGGAGAATGAGGCATTTATAGGAATTTTTGTTGTGGTTTGATTTTTGCTTGATCAAGCTGCTATTGTTATTACTTTTCATCATAATTCAGTCCAAAGGTGCTAAGCGCTTTAAGATAGGAGTCTGCTTGATTTATCAATGTTACTATAAAGCCAAATAAAACATATCAGAAACACTGCTGCTTCACCCCCACCCCTCCAGCCTCAGACACTCTATCACACTCTCCTGTCTTCTACTCCAATTCTAGACACCCGTCACAAAAACTTCTCTTCCTTTCAAGCTGTCTCGCATCATCTCCTCTTTCTCTTTTTCCCAGTAAATGGATTCCTCCTCCAAGGCCCTGCTGTGCTTTTCAGACATGTTTCCTTATTTTAAATCTGTACTTGACTTTCTTTGCTCTGTCCTAAATTCTCTCCCCTTGAGTTTTCAGTATGCTGCATTGCTCTTTCCTCCACTGTTTAATTGCTGATAAAATATTTCCCTTCATTACCTGCCCTGCCATTTTACTCATTCCCTTGTAAATAAGAGCTAGCAAACATGTTTCACTGCAGATCTATCCTCCTGAAGCTAAGGTAAGGAGGGAAGATTTGCCATGCCAATTGGGTGGGTGAAAAGGAAATATGGCACAATATCATCAGGTGGAAAAAGTTACAAATCTTCCTACCAAACTTAACTACCACATTTTCTTTGTGTGTGACTCAGATCATGTTGCGACGGGTGAAGTCTGCTCTCTGCACACAATTAGGTGTTCAGATGCTGTCTCATGCTACAAACTAGGGAAAGTTTGCACGATTTGTGGCAGTGCTGACTAGAAGCTACTCCCAGCATGTTTCTTTAACTGCTTCAGGAGTCTACCATCCTGCCATAACGTCCTGACTTTGTGTGTGAGAGTGTAACTCCTGACAGGAACAGTTGTTTTATTAATTTGTGCTGTTTATGAAGCAGCATAGGGTGTCCCTATATCATTACAGACAAACACAGACCCTGGAGAATGTGTATTCTATATTCTGTTACTTTAATTCTTCTGTAGCTATAGCATGTGACTCCCATGTGCTCTTCCTCTCCCACACCGCCTTGGTGCCTTTTGTGATGTTCTCCTCACTCCAAGCACCTTCCTCCCCAGCCCAAGTGCCTGCAGCTCCCACACTCTTTGCTTCAACTGGCCATCTGATGCCACACAATTGCCTTAGCTGCTTCCCTGGCACTGCACCCTTTGCCCACTGCCTGCCCTGATTCTGGACTCCTCACCCTCCCCTTATCTCTGTGGTGCTTACCTGCGAGTGCACAGCCTTGTGCTGCTCCAGGCTGACTGCATGGCCAAAGGTCTTGCCACACATGTCACAGGCAAAGGGTCTTGTTCCACTGTGTGAACGACGCACATGCACCTCCAGGCCATGAGGTGTAGAAAAGACCTGAGGGGAGAGTGCATGCAGGGGTCAGGCAAGCCAGAATGCAAGAAAAGAACCAGGGATCAATCAGGACCAGAACTGTGGGGACAGATTCCTACCTTGCTGCACTTGACGCACTTGTAGGAGCCGGTGGTGATGAGTAAGGGGCGACATAGAAGCTCTGCCTCCACCTTGATTCCACCTGGGCCCTTCTCCTGCTGCAGCCCAGGCTGGGCCTCTGCATAGAGGCCTGGTGCTGCTGCTGCGGATCGCTCAAAAAGTCCTGACCCAGGGGAACCGAAGTCACCGTAGAGTCCCAGGGCTGAGCCACGCTCTGCATTGTAGAGGGCAGTCTCTGAGCTCCGCTCACAGAAGAGGCCCAGGGCTGAGGTACGCTCCAGGGTTGGGCAGGGCCTGTAGCTCTGCACCAAATGCCTCAGCTCAGAGCCACCCAGGCTGCCCCATGCATATGGCTTGAAGGGTACAGAGAATGGCGGTGCCTCATCCAGAGAGGGGCAGACAGAACGCTCAGAGGCTGTGGAAACACAAAGCATGGTCAATTAGTGGGGTTTGCAGCACAGCCACCACCTGCTGTGCACAAGGCAATTCAAGGGCATGACATGAGTTCTAAATCCAGATACCTATTGGTGCTGCACACTGACATTTATGCTACCTCCGAGAAGGAGGGGCAGTTAGACTGCATAGTGTGCTATGCACTCTATGCATCCACCACAATGCCATAGACCCACCAATGTAGTCAGGTCTTTTTTTATGATGGTCATTAATGTCATTCCCATTGACTTTGATTGGAGTTTTGGTGGTCAGCCCATCTGAAAAATGTGTCCAATATATCTGATACTGGGCAGCAAAATTAACTGTGTACAGAGCACTCTGCGTATACTCATCCATACACCATTTTGGACATACCAGTAGCAGCTCCAGAGTTAAAGCTATGATGAGATTTATGCTTTTAGCAGACCTGAATTCCATCTATTTCATAACTTAAAAAACTTGAATTTATTCTCCCAAACTTGGCATCATCTATCTTGGTGGTTCTCAACTTTTTCAGACTCAAGGCAACCTCTTGCTGGACTCAAGACACTCCTTAGAAGATGCCAGTTTTAGCTTTCACTTGCTTTTTGATTACAGAAAAATAGAGAAATTCTTCTGGTGCAAAGAACTTAGAAAGACCACACTACGCTAGGTCAGAATGTTTTTAACACTATGAATTTCTATTTGAAATCTCTGTGGTTATCTTTTGAATCATGTGTGTACACCTACCAATGCTAACATGGTGCAGTTCCCCACAGCACTCCTGAAAAGATCTCAAGGCACGCCAGGGTGAAATGACACCCTGGTTGAGAATCACTGATCTATCTTTAGAGGAGAATTGAAATGCCTAAGTAGTTTTCCTCACTTTTGCAGAGGAAACATTTAAACATATTCTTTTCCCAAAATAAAATCCTTTATGCTCATGTTTCTCTAAATTAATCTAGGTAAAACAGAACAGCCTCCCACCCCACAAACTCCAAGCAGCACAAGCACCTTGTGATAATCTTGGACATAAGTCATGTTTCAAATTAAACAGCAGAGTTATTCCCCTCACTGGGGTCATAACCTATACGAGTTTCATCAAGTCTAACTGACATACACAAATTCATCAGCTACTTCTGTTGCTGAGTAAAACTAAAACAGAAATTGTCAAAGTGTTTTCAGTTGTGTGTTTTACCAGCATTTTTCCAAACAGCTTTAACTGGAGTCATCCGTGGTATAAAAAGCCCTGGTTACAGCAGGGGGAGGACCCTGGTACAGGGGGAGGAGTAGGAATGGATTCAGGGCCCAAAGGGCTGTTTGGGGTTGAGGCATCCGGGTATCAGGTGTTCTACACACGCCCTGGTGGGCCACAGAGAAGAGGCAGATGGGGGTGACCTGTCCACTGCTGACACCTCTACAAGGCCACGCTGCTCTCAGTCACAGCTCCTGCCCCAGCCCTCTCACCCAAAAACATCTTCCCACACACTCCCACCCTGCATGTCCACAATTACTCCTGGGCCTTGGATGCCAAGAAAGTTTCTGAGGCCTAAAAGGGAAGAGGTGATGTGGAGAAAGAGTAGTTGATACCTTGGCTGTTCAGTTCCTTGCTTTCTAACCTTTGAGTTGGCCTTTGCTCCTAACTGGGAGGGGAACACCCTGTGGGGGTGGGCACAGGGAATCAAGGCATCAATATACGTACCCCTAGAGCTGGGACACAGCTGTGAAAAGCCAAGTTGGCTGAGGCCACAAGCTCCCCGCACCCCCTGCACTGATTGCAGAGCTGTGCCAGGGTCACATCAGCTCTCCTCGCTTCTCTACCAGCTTCACAGCCCTGTTGCCTCACAGTTTCCTCTCAACCTCCGTACCCCTTAAAGCCCCGTCTCTGGCCACGAGGCCTTTTCACCCGGCTGCCGCCTTCCCAGCCCTGCCGCTTGTGGAGAGAAGCTGGA